TGTATAGAATACTCTCTCGAGTAATCTCCACTTTATCATTCGAATTGTATTAAAAGTAGATACAAATCGTGTAATTATATTGATTGCTTTTCACTCAATAGTCATCATATCGAGGCGAATGATGCGCAAACGTCGTAATCCAGAAAATGTCGTGACTGTTTTGACATCGTGCTTAGCCTCTGGTAGCGACAGACATGTTTCAACATCCCTAGTCGCCGTCAACTCCCTATATAAGCAGCTACAGTAATCATATCATCCGTACTCTTCACTCGTTACCTCTAACACCATCTCCTTTTAAATTTGCTATTAAATTGACTATCGTTATCTCATTATATTAAACGTGTCATGCAATTTCCATGATTCATGGCGTGTTATTTTTGATCTTGTTGTATCATTCTTACGTTTTGTAACAAACTAACAATTGTTATCTGATTGTATAATCACATTCTCATAAATCATCTAGATAATCCTGTTATGTATATTCTTGATTTATGGTTCTTGTGATCCTGATGTAATATTTTATTTATTCAAATAAAGTCTTAGTTGCCCAAGTTTGAGGTTCGATGGCATTGTTCGAGACGAGCAGTACTAAAGACCCGCGTGGCAAACTACTCACGACAAGTGTTAGAATATTCACTAGTATTACTAAGATCCGTTAGCCAGTCAACAAACATTTGTTGAGTCGGCTAATATTCTATTAATCCATATTCGTTCCAAAGCCACTGACACCACTACGTTTTCAGTGCATCGGCTACTACACCGAACTCACCTTTTTAAAAGACGGTGCTTTTATGTATGCTTCAAAAATTTGGACATCACGAAAGCACGATGAGCGTCCATTGAACACAATACAACGCTCTATCGGAAGGGTCATGCTCGGTGTTTCCCGCATCACATAAGTGTAAGAGGAAGAATGATGTTTTGATCTACGTCAACGATCGAAAATCAGAGACGCAGCCGTGCACGCCAAGTTTTTAAAGATTGAGTGTGCCGGACACGTGATGCACATGAATGATGACTGGTGGACACGAGCTGTAAGTGATTGAATCCCACTGAACATCAAACGCACTGCAGGAAGACCACAAGCTCGATGGTCTGACTTCTTTAATAAGGTCCTAGAATGGGATTATGATGCTCAAGGAATCATTAGAGCGAAAGGAATCCATTGGACTACCGCCACTTAGTCGATGATCAAAGGGAATCCAAGTAATTACATTTCTTCTTCTAGAAAAAGAAAACACCTTAATGGGTAATCCAGGTAACTTGTGTGGAAGTCTTCTAGACAACAGACAACAAGTAAATAGAACAACACTTGTCAATGTCGGCAATAATTTTCATAAGAACACCCTTGCGAATTCCTCATTGACATGACGGTCTGCATAAAGCGTGTGAAGAGTCGCGTCAGTGTAATACCAAAGGTTGATGAATAGTTCTAATAGTTTTTTTAAAAAATGTTTTTTACCTCTTATTATTCCTACCGATTCTATGCGATATTAGTGATCTACCTGGCTTCTACAAGACAGTGTTCAACATACTATTCTGATGCAGTATTCTTGCAATGTAACTACAAATTGCGAAATTTGACATCGTTAAAATGGTCGGATTTCGCTCTGAAATTTCAAAAGTAAATTTGACTTATCAATCAACAAACTCGTAATTATTTTCTAAAAATAAGGCAAGATAGACTTTAGCGTTGAATAAACCGTAGATGCTTAAATACCTATCATGTTCATGGTGGTATCGCAGAATGCGAATATTGATTTATATATTCACAGGGATCAATTTATATCAGACAGTAATGCTTACTTTACAAGATGTTCCTGGAACCAATCCTCCGACCTGTTAGCTACGGCAATGTTAAGGTGGTGACGAACAGGTGTGAGCTTACTAGGGACTGTGTATCGATGTATGACCTCCTAACACTGTTGTACACTCTCTAAATGAACGACCTGGCACAAATACAGTGACTTACTGATATGACTGGTTATTTTAGCATTGTCATTCTGTTTTTCATATTCAATGCTTGCACACATCACACTCCTTCAAAACGGTTTTCCACCTTAACGTGGCTAGAGAGGGTTGATAGAATTTTCCATTCCGACATGGAAACCTAGAGTAAACCTATGAAAGAATAGTTAGTGTTTTGATGAAATAAAGCTACAAAGAGCACATCCCGCTGATCCATAAATCCTGGACACTGCCTGTTGTTAAGCTTATAAGAAAGCTTTAGCAAGGCCTTCTCACGAATGTAGTGAAACAAGGTTAAATTCGCAGAGTTTCCACCTTAGCATTCCAACTGTTAGGATCTGTCGCCCTTGACATCGCTCGATAAAATGACTGGTAACAGCAAAATTTTGGACGTGACATCAAACGTGACGTCAATGGAGCAAAATCTAAGGACAAACTAAAGAGACTGTTCTGTAATTACACTACCAATAATTACAATACTAATACTATACCAATTACAATTAATTACGCATTAAATTCAGAGTAATAGTTTTACAGAAGGCTAAGAGCAAAACTTGAGGAAGAAACACATCTGTTATCCATGGAATAAAGATCCTTTCACGAAACACTGGTGGCGTCGGCGGAGTCGGCTTCGCAGTATACCCATTCATTGTCCACCTCGCCGACTTGCGAAACCCTATCGTTTCTTCTAGTCAAACTTTGTGTCCAATGGCGGTGTCATAGGAAAATCCGCATGATCGATTGTAATTTACCAACTGGTGCAGCAGAGCAGTGCGAATTAAACGCATCCCACAATTAGTTAGAAATAGATTCCTTTACAAAATTGTTGTCGGAGGTTTCAACGCAAGAACATATACATATAATGCCATATACATATAATAATGGTACATATAACATAACATATACATATAATAATGGTACATATAATGCCGAAATCGGCTCACCAGATCGTACCCGTTGGCGGGCGAGTGTTGATAATGGTACCCACTTACTATAAATGAAGCACTGAGTGGTCTTGCAGAGCAAGGTCCTCGGTAGTGTAGTGGAAAGCACGGTAGACCGGATATCTGTAAGTGCGGGTACGAGTCCCGCCTGAGGTTCCGAGTTTTGCGGCCATCTCAGCACAACTATGGATGCTTACATAGATTTAATTGATTATGGTTTTTCCGAGTTGTTGCGTCGTGCAAAGTGTAGTGGTTACGAACCAACACACTCAGTACTAAATCATGTTCTGTAGTTGTTATGTACAGATTATTGGCCAATAATTTAATTTTTGGGATATTACTCTCAATGCGATCATTTGGACCATGGTTGAGTCGGTGTGATAAGGCTTTGATGAATCTCATAGCGTAGAGTATTGTCCACGTACAAATTATCTTTTATCATTGCAACAAGTTGGCTGTCCATTTCGTATTGAACAAGATTAAAATAAATGGTTTCACCCAAGAGAAATGGTGATGGGTTTAGTCCAAAGGTAACTTTAGTCAATCGAAGCGTTTAAATATTGCTCGGATGTGGAGCATTTGTATGGTTGTGTAGCCATAAGCATCGTGTAGCGTCACGGTCGTCTTCATGCAGACGAACTTGTAAAAAGGCTTCCACAGCTGGTGTAATTGCTATGCGGCGATTCGGAAGCGCAGCATTACGCCGACTAATTGTAGGAGGATCATTGGCTTTCGATGTGGGGTGTCATTTAATGATGGACAGCCCTTATAATGTGCTGACGCGTCGTAAACTATTCGCAGTTTTGTTGTTGTTTTTCGAGGAGTTAGTACTTCTTGGTGAGGAATGTAGTGAACTCTTGTATTAATTTGTCGACGCTACTTTGGGATCTGTTCTAAGAAAGCGTCATTATATATATATCCAATAATTCCTTACTCTTTTTAAGCGTTCTTCAGGTGCTAGAAAGTCTTTGAAGTGCTATAGCTCGATTATCTGGTAATGGCAAGGTTAATTGTTTCCATGGATGGCGAGAATAATATCCGTCTTCTCGTTTTTGAATTGTTTCATTGAATTATTGCCATACTTGCTTATCTACAGTTGCTTTTGTTTCTCTTTCAGAGTTCAAATATTGTTCTGTTCCGGCAGAATCTAATGTCCAATAATTGTCCCAATTTTTTCATTCTTCTTCCTTTATTACCGTAACTGTGTTCACACGAGTTTCTAGGGTCCAGTAGCGGTCCCATTTACCTGACTATGTGGTTATGTGGTTACTTCGCTATGTGTTTACGTCAGTCTTGCAGATTTCGTTTTTCCGGATATTACATGACCCATTCGGGTAGGTATCAGATGTGATCTTGTTGGCAGATTAATTTGAGCCTTCTCATGTTTCAGCAACGACAATATCGGGTACAGCCTATTGAAATTAATGGTTTTTTTTTGTTATTCATGGCTAACGTAAATGGTCTGTCGGTGGTTCAATGGTAGAATGATCGCGTGCCACGCGGGCGACCCGGCTCAATTTTCGGCCGATGGACAACTATTTGTTGTGACGTGTTTTGCTTGTTTTACGCTTAACGCCACGCGAGACTTGTTGGGTTTTGCGTGTGTGTTGTTCGGTGGAAGACGTCGAACTCTACATCAACCTTGGGTAATTAAAGCTTTATCAAAATCATTACACGAAACAATAACACGAGATATCAACAATTATAAGAACAAAATAAGTGGCTGTACTAATACAACGGAAGATTTGCATTTCATCTGCTAGTGATTTGTTGTGAACGTAATTTTCTAAGTGATATTTTATCGTAGCTGATAGTAGAAATGTTGGGCAGGTCAGTCCAAAGGGTACTCTTGTAAATCAATATACGACTATATTATTATCGGGTTGTAGTGGACGTGTCCGCGAATCTAAAGAAAACGTGTTGTATCCTTATCCGTTTTTGTATCCTTTCTTGCAAAAGGGTTTTGTCTACGTCGCCAATCACTACAATGTTTCCAATACGGAATCTGAGTAGTACGTCACTTATAAGTGCTAGCATGGCAGGCACTTGGTCGTTTCCTTGTTTAGCATAAGCGCTGCTCGATGTGGTAAATAATGTACAATGTTCGCAATTATGGGATTTGTTTCGTGAACTTCTTCAGTTATTCATTTTTCGAATTGATCTCTAATGATTTCGTCATACTTATATTTCACACTAGGATTATCTTTCAATTTCATCACAGTAGTTTTTGATCTTTTTGTAGCTATACTTTTATTATCTAGTAGTGTATATGCGTTATTTTCCCATGGAATTTGTGCACAATGACCGTCTTGCCTCCTTTCTATTGTAGTTTTGAATGTTTTCCAAACTGTATGGTTGTGTTGCGGTTCCTCCACTTTGTGAGGTTCGGTAAATGTATCGATACCGATATCTGAGTCTTGTATGGTACTACTATGCAAAAGTTGAGTTATTTTTGATGCAAGATGTGTACTGTTTTGCGGTTCGATCTTTTCCTTATAAATAGAGCCCGCTATTAGATGACCAAGTTTTAAATAGCTTAGCTTCAATCCTGAAGGTAATTTTTTGTTTGCAAATATTTTATCTTTCATAAGGTCACATAGATCTAAGCATCGGAGCAGCGTGTTTGGCTTAATGTAGCGCTGCTCTGCATCAATAGAATGACCAAATAGAATCAAAAGAATTATTGTTATGTTGCAAAAATGTCATGCCTTCTTGATTAAAGGGAATTCGTTTTAATAGTTTTGTTATTGTTCCAACTCATCATAATGTAAAACTCAATGGATTTCTTTCATTTTCCTGCAGTAGTATTCCTGTGATTTGGCAAGTTTTCGTACTTTCTTCAGAATCACCAAATGTATAGAAAGCGACATCTGTAGTTTCCATGGTGGGAAGTTTGAGTTGTTTGGCTAGCTTATAGCTATAATGATCTATTCGCACCCGTATCAAGGATAATGAAAACTGGCTTGGATTGTCCTGAATTTTCTTTAAGACTTGAGCTTGACCTGCTAGAATTTGTGATTTGTTTGCTCGCTTTTTGTTCCTATAAAGTGCCATTGATTATTTTTGTATCTTGTTATTATTGGAAAACGTGGTTACATTAGAGGATGTTTTTCGATGTAATTTTGTGTTTTGTGAATCATATGCTCTTTGCTGTGTATTAGAGTTGTTGTTCTATTGTATGACTTCATTCAAACATGTGGATGTGTCCACGTTTGTTGCATATAAGGCATACCTACTTCTGCAAGAGTTGGTATTGCACGATGGTGAGTCACAGTTATAGCAGAGTTTTCGTTCTCTTATTATTTCCAATCTTCGATC